ATAATAATAATAATAATAATAATAATTATTATTATTATTATTATCATTTTTCGGCATTACATGTAATTAACTTGGTCTAGCTTTGAAATCAAGAACCAGCCGATTACTATGCCTAGTATTAATAACTAGCTCATTTTTACATTCATATGGTGCTCTGCCATTTTGGCAGGTCTTAGGGCATCCAGTGTTTTAGAGCTGCCTATTCTCAGCTCTTCTCTTAATTTGAAAATAACTGTCACCCTGTTTCATTTGATGAAGAAAAACGCGCTTTTCCTTACTCTTTGTGCTTTTCCCAAAAAGGGTCTTAGTAGGCCTAGGTATATGCAAAACCAAGGCCTAACTAAAAAATTAAAATTGTCATAGTATGTAACTCAAGATAAAATAACACATTTCATTACTCGTGCAGCTTAATCAAATATATATGTCATTTTAAACGACCCATTGGTATTAACATAGTAACATGTATTTTTAAAAATTAGACAGCGACGTTCTCTCAGAAGTTGTTTTGTAGACGTTTATCTGTTGATGACCTTTTAACCTCCTGAATTCTGCAATGAGATTTTCGGGTCGATTCAGCCGAGACGGCCCGAGTGGAGTTTCATGTAAATGTTTCGTACGGGGAAAAAATCGCTTCCCGAACGATTCCTGTTGGCGAACAACAGCCTGTGGTTTCTTTAGTATCTCGAATATTTGTTATTCAAACGACTCCTAACATTTGAAAGAATCTGAATTGTTGTCGTTACAATGGCTTAAAATTCTGTTTTCATTACCGATTTTCACTAAGGCTACAAACTACAGACCTATTACAGACCACTATTCTCTGGCTCCAATTGAATGCCTATATTTTATCACTAGTTGTTACCTCCAATAATTATTGAAGACTTCCTCTATGTAAAGACCAAAGACATGGTTTTAGCGAAAACTACTAAAAATTGTCCCTCCAATTAAAGACCATTATAAAATAAATGATGTTAATGCAATTTTTTTAATAATAAATTTGTTATGACTTAAACATATAATATTAACCAATACACGTCTTAAGATGATGTTTTGTGTGTGTGAATAAAACACGCGTTAATTCCGGATTGTTACCGGATGCATTTTCATTTACATCGAACGAAAAAGTCAGGAATTGATCCCGAGTTGCACCCAGTTTACTCCGGCAACGAACGCGGCAGAGCCACATATATAAAGAGTTGCGACATTCTCCTCGGTTTGCGAAAGTCATGTGGTACACACCGTCCATTTTTGTGTCCAGATTTTCCCTACGCACGCATGCAAAGTATATGAGTTAGGTACATTACACAGTATTTTCACGTGTTTAATTGTGATTATGATTACTTAATTAATAACTATTTAATATCAAAAGCGTGATTTAGAATTTATCTTTAGAATTCGAATATTTGTGCGTGTTCACGCTTGATATTTAAATGCGAATTACATAGAAATTATAATTGGAATGTTAAAGGTTCGTCTATTCTGTGACTGAAAAGACCTTTTCAAAAAAGTTATGTTTTTCTCTTTACTTTAGGCCTACACAATATCAGTTTATATATTCCGGCATACCTGACCTATTATACTATTTTAGTATTTATAAATAATAATAATCAAATTAATAATATAAGGTTTGTATAGGGCTCACTTATATTCAATTTTAAAGAACAACAATCTACCCTATTTACGCGTGGATCATTGAAATCGGTAAAGCCGACCAAGACTAAAAGTAATTATTTGCTACGGTACTGGCTGTTCAATATTTTCTTTTTAGCAAGTCAATAATATAATCAATCCTGGGACTGTGGTTGTTGGCATGATTTGAGCTGTAGAGTGGAAATACATTCTTAGGTCAATATCAAAATAAGGATATTTCTCTTGGACTGATGAGAGCTTCGATCCCTGGACAGATGAGAGCTCCGATCCCTGGAGAGACAGTATATTTCCAACTTTAATCTTTTTACATATTTGTCTATGTCTAGTCCTACTCCACTTTTTCTTTTTTCGACCTTAAGCACATTCTCATCTGAGTTTTCAAGAAAAATACAATGATCCTGCCATCCTGCTAATCTCAATCGGCCGATGGCCAACAAGCTATAGACCACTACCCACCACTAATTGCATCTGCTGTTTTGCTGTTATGTAAATATTCATGCATTCTTGTTATGAGCCATGTTCTCTGGACGATTATCTCCTCCAACCACCATTCGTAATGTGCTTATATAATCTTTTTTTCATTCAAAAAGTGCCTCTTGAATTTTTAATTATTAAAATAATTTCCCATAAGAACCCCTCGATTTTCATCCATTTCCATAAGCGCCCCTCAATTTCCACTCTGTTTTCATAAGCGCCCCGTTTAAATAAGCGCCCCGTTTGAATAAGCACCACTAAGAAAGTGCAAAAAATATTTTAAGCCCTCATCATCATCGTCATCATTGTTTTTATAGATGAGCCCGTATAATTATTTGATACTTTAATAAATTTTAGTATAGTAAATACGGTACATACCGAAGTAATAATGAAAACTTCAACATGTTAAATATAAAACGAAATTTAAAAAACACCTGCATTTACTGCTGTGTAGATTCTATAGAAATAAATTTACAATGCTAAACCTACTATTTACTCATTTTGTTAAAAGCAATTAAAGTACTTTAACCCTGATACTTTCATAATTTGCAATGGTAAATACATAGTAACAATGTAAACTTTAAAATTTAATATTTCAGACGAGATTTAAAAAGTCACGTGTAGCTTACTTAGACATATTCCGTTTATATAAAAATTAAATATTAAATACAACAGCTGTGGTGAATTTATGAAAATAAATTTAATCATTAAGTTGAATTAATTATATAGGCCCTACTCATTTAAAAAGTCTTGTTACAGTACATTAACCTTTTTAATGGCTAAAATGTAGGCTATATGTATATAAATTCTAATATAAACAGGAATCACACTTTTAAGGCGTACGGTATCCTTTCTTTAAAATACCTTATTGTAAAAATACATATATAATAATAATAATAATAATAATAATAATAATGATAATAATAATAATAGTGATAATAATAATAATAATAATGATAATGAATTATAATTATAGTAACGAAAGGTAAAGTTATTAATAATGATAATGTAAATGACCTTGACAGTAATGACTATGATAATGATAATGGCTATGGTAACGATAACGATTGAAAACGGTTAAATTGAAATAGTAATTATGATGTTTAGACTTATCCCTTCTCTAAAAGCTTTAATGTAGACATAGGCCTAAGTGATAACAAACATATAATAATAATAATAACATTAATAATAATAATACGAATGATGATGATGTGATGATGATGAAGATGATGGTTGTGATGATGATGGTGATGATGATGATGATGATTATGATGATGATGATGATTATGATGATGATGATGATGATGATGATGATGATGATGGAAGTAAGATTGATAATGATATCATCAACATTTTAACACTAAGTCTTAAGACATGGATCAAACAACTTCCCTATCGGAGTGACTTTTGGGTGAAGTTTACAATTTCCATTTCTGTTGTTTTGATGTGTTATTAGGTTTCTCCTGTGGTCTTTTGACTATTCTATATAGATTCACTAATATTTAAATACATTGAATTTGATTACATCAGCTCAAAATACAAGTACAGTTCAAACAAACACCATACACATTATAAATTAATATTTAATATATAATAAATACATAATGAATAAATTACATACCGTAATAAATGCATGAATAATATATAATAAATACATAAGAACAAAAAAGCAAAAACGTACAAAACACAAACTGCCCAAACACAAACAAGCAAACGGCACAAAATGCGCCGGCGGTCGTCTGTCGACCTGATAAAACTGCGCCGGCGCGATTCCATGGAAAATGTAACGTATTTAGCAGAACACGATGAGCAAGGTTGTTACTCTATATTAGTTACACACATACAATTTGCAGCTATTTTACTAATATTCAAGTTATAAGAGGAGTGGTGATAGAATACAGCCTATAGTGGACTACCGGTATTGGAGTATTGATAATGATGGTCATGACGGTGGTGATGATAAGATAATGATGATGACAATGTTGATGAAATTGAAGTATGATAATTAAGATATATATATACTGTCTCTTATACACATCTTGGATCATTGAAATCGGTAAAGCCGACCAAGAATACAAATTATATGCACACTTCAGAAGAAAAATCGCTCAATGCTTTATTAATTATCAATAAAATCTCAGTGGCTCCTTGTTCTGTTTGATTTATTTTAATTATGCTAATCACTGTTATAACTATTTTAAAGAAACCAATAAAAATGTTATGAATATATAAAACATGGTGTGGATTAAATTATATTGAACGAATACTGCTGGTCACCATATGCTATTTACAGTATATTCCTCCGACAGCCCTTTTTGCGAAGAGTATTTAAACAATCGCAATTACTAATGGTAATCACTTTTCCTTTTCCAGATTACGACGAAGAACTAAGTTCATCTTGCAAAGATGGCATCAAGAAAAGTACTTGTTCTGCTTCTCACTGTTTTCAGCCTTCATCTCGTCAAGGCTAAGACTAGGCGTTCTGAAGGAAGCCAACCCAACGTGCTTTTTATCCTATCTGATGATCATGGTTACCGAGATGTCGGCTACCATGGTTCGTTGTTTGCAACTCCAGTAATCGACAAATTGGCCGCTGATGGTGTGAAGCTAGAAAACTATTACGTTCAACCAATATGTTCACCGACTAGATCCGTCCTCATGTCGGGGCGATACCAGGTAAATAAAAGTTTGTTCGGATCATCAATTTATGTATTTTTTAATAAAACATGCACTGGCCCTGTAATCTAAGTTGTAGTAAAAGTTTTCTTATAACATTGTTCTAATAACATAAACGCTATTTTAGATAGGCCTAATGATAAAAAATATCCGGAAATCTCTTAATATACTTGTTCGTTACCCTATGAATTTGTCACAAACAACACACCTATTTCTAAGTCATAAAAAGCAGCAAAGTGATTAGTGATTCTCTTTTATGATTACTATTATACCTACGTTGGATTTCAAATTTTCTGTTAAAGTTATCACAGGAGCATCGACTTTAAGTAGAAAACCACTTTTGATAATACAATCTTGGGGCGTTTAGAAGTACTAAACCAAAAATTGCACCTCGAAGGAAGGAGGCGAAGAAAGTAGGATGTTAGATAAGAGTAGTAGTACAATAAAATACCTTAGCATGTTAGTGTCCTTGAACGGTTGTATGTTCTACAGTAATTCTTTTGATATCGTGCTTCCGGGAGCAAATTAATAAGATAGAATTTTAAATGAAAGGTGTACACTGCATTTCAATGCGATGATGCCACCCGCGTCTTTTGCTAATAATAGATAATAATGGAAAGTTGACTGAACTGATATCTTCATTTTTCACAATATGTCACGTGGACTACGTACGGGAATTTCCCTTCTTACGTAATCTAACAGTTGATTCCCGCATGCACGATTTACCATTGCTCTTTTACACGATGATTTGTTACTTTGCCAGCAGGAAAAATTTGTCATAGTGTCAATTATAAAAAAAAGTACGTCATTAATAACAATACTACCTTGCCTTTTATGGCATACTGGATTTATATTATCGTTTACGCTAAAGGCGTTAGAATGTACATGTACCTCCTTATGTTTATAGTCAAACTTTCTATTGACTATGTTATGTTGTATAACCTGCGATAAATACCGACGATTTTTATCGATGTGCAGCATCTCGTCAAGTTTAATTGTTGTACAAAAAATGTGCACACCGGGTCGCTTTAGGACTAATCAGATCCGCTATGGCCTAGTAAATTATCAATTGATAATGTAAATTATTATTGTTTTATATTCATCTTTCAGATTCGTTATGGATTGCAACATGCTGTTCTCGACCCAATGGCACCATCTTGCCTACCTACTGATGAGGTGACTCTAGCTCAGAAGATAAAAGAAGCTGGTTACTCAACGCATATGATTGGTAAATGGCATCTGGGCTTTTACGAAGAGGCGTGTCTTCCTACCAACAGAGGATTCGATACCTTTTTAGGTAAATAATTGACAACGGTACTATTGTTCATAGGATATAGGATTCTAATCTATACCAGACAGCCTGCACCCTGATTTCTAAGTTGTTAATCTATTAATAGTATTTTATCTTGTGCATCCAATAGAAATCTCAATATTAAAAAAAATATGTATTTAAATTGCACTCGAATTAAGAAACAATATCGTGAACATAATAATAGCCTACAACTTTTGTAGTTTTAATTACATATCTGTTAATTTCATACCTTAAAATGAATTATTTTTTGCATTGCAAATTATAAAGGACCTACGTCATCATTATACAAAAACATGCCAAAAACCCCATATTAAGGGGACAATTTCACGTCTTTGGTTAGTGTCTCCTGAATAGGGACACCCCTATTAGGGGAACACTTTTTTGGTCGAAGCTGTCCCCTTAATAGGGGTTCTACTGTAATAATTTTCTCTAGTGTTCGATATTTTCGGAGAATGTCACCATAAATTTGGAAACACAGAAAAAATTATAGTATAGAACGGCATTGGTGCAAAGAATTAATATGGAACGCCATTGGTGCCAACAAATTTAGGGACTGGACAAGTCTATAGCAGTTTAGGCATTGAAATGCCAACATTGAAGTCTCTTGCATGGCATTCCTTCCTTTTCTTCGCATAGAACTTATTTTTCATTCGGTAATATTGTAGCACTTTCAGGAGTTTACGTAATAAATCGACTGATTGATTTAATAATAACTGATAAATTGGTTAGTGAAATATTAATTGATTGATTAAAAAAAAAATGCAACTAAAATTTTCATTAAAAAAAATCAGGTCTGCTACTGGGCGGAGGCTACCATTTTAGCCATTCTTTCCCGACACCAAAGTTTTACGACCTCCATCGAAACGTCGAAGCTGCATTGGAATATAATGGCATTTACTCTACTTACGTGTTTACTAATGAAGCAATTGATATCATTAACAAGCAAGATGAAGACAAGGTAAGTTCTTACTCAATTTAATAAACTGTATGAAATTAAATACGATATCCAGCCAAATAATATTATGTAACACAAGTTAAAAAAGTGATTCGGTAGAATTTCTTAACAATAAAATTTATCTCTTGGAGCAAAATACTTCAAATTTGTTATTATGGGCGCATATCCAAATAAAATAATAGTGAAAGAGTATTTATCTTACAACTTTATACAAAACTCTATGATTCACAATTTATTATCTTCTTCATGGTGTGTTTTGCAAAGCTTTGACAACTCTCATCTACATAATCGTTACCCGACGGTATGTCAGTTCTCAATTTAGATATTCAAACACTTTTTAAAGAAAATATTCTTAAATCTGAATAATTATTTCGAATTATGCCTAATAGCCTTTCTTCATGTACTTGGCCTACCAAGCACCGCACGCTCCTCTTGAAGTACCCGAGCATTACAAGGACCCATACCGTAGTACTTTCGAAGATGAAGACAGACTTAACTACGCTGCTATGGTATCATGTGTGGATGAGGGTATCGGAAACGTGACAGCTGCACTGAAAGCTAAGGGAATATATAACAACACTGTCATAATCTTTTCTAGTGGTGTGTATATTTTTACAAACATAGTACCATATTAGACACATTACACAAACATTACACAAAGTGATTTCATTGGTATATTTTTGTTAATAGTGTACTGAACTTTTAATATGTACAAAAAAACAGTTTTCTTTATAGCACCAATTGTCTAAAAGTTGATATTGAACTTGATCTTTGTTCAATAGATAATGGGGGAAGTGTAAGGGACGGTGGTAACAATTGGCCATTGCGTGGAAGTAAGTTGTCCATGTTCGAGGGAGGTATGCGAGCTCTCGGATTCGTTCACAGCCCTCTCCTTTCTGACGATGTAAAGGGAACTGTGAGCAAGGAACTGTATCACGTAAGTGATTGGTTCCCGACATTCGTCGAAGGTATCGCTGGAGGGAACACAGACGGAACTAAACCACTAGATGGCTTCAACCAATGGGAATCTATAAGGTAAATTTGCAGTATTTTCGTCTCAGACAAATTTGGTTTGGAGTTGAGCTTCTAGGATATTGGTGAGATGCAATCCAGTCCAAACGAATGATAAATAAACACTTTTGTAAAAGTCAGTCAAAATCAGTTAATAATAGACATTAGGAAAGTGTGGATGTTTGACAATTACGCTTTTTGAGCTTTCATTCAGTTCACCTCTATTCATAGAAAAACATCAATGTAATAAGCAGGCACAAATCGTGGCCCTAAAGCCAAATAGAATGTGAGCCTTACAGTTTCAGAAATAAATAAGACAGTATATACAGAAATTAATTATTTAGACAATATATACAGTAATTAATTATTAATATAAGAATGGAGACAAAAGTAATTGATTATTAATATAAGAATTGAGACAAAATATAGGCCCCTACAATAACAAGAAACCATTAAAACGTGAATACAGCCACATAAAGGAAGAAAACAAAGAAACACAATGCACAATACTTATGCTTATATAAATGTATACAGTTCGCCCTCCTTCGAGACCACCTTTGGGACCTGAAAATTTTGGGTGGTCTCAGGGTTGGTCTCCAATTAGAGGGCTAGCTTTGTGTTAAAAGGTTGAAGATTGTTATTTGTGTCTTTGGAAAAGTGGTCTCGAATTAGAGGGGTCTCGGAATTAGAGGGGTCTCGAAATGGAGGGTGCACTGTATACACATAAGATGCCTATGCACATACATAAGAAAAAACGCAAGACCGCCAGACAGTAGCGACATTAAGTAAGTTAGTTAGTTTGCTCATATATGTATACACATACAAATAGGCTATACACACATATATAAGCAAAGAAGCAAGACCTCTCAAACAGCAGCGTCAATAAATTTGCCTGTATATAATATGTATATATACACATAAAAATGCTTATACACATATATAGGCAAAGAAGTAAGACCTCAAAAAACAGCAGCGACAATAGATATGTATAATATGAGGCTGGCATGCCTTACATGTCTAAAAATGAAGTTTGCATGCATCCATTCTTGTTGTTGTGATGGGATTTAATGATATTGGTCAAAGAGTTTCCACCATATTTATGTAAGATTGAATTGCATTAATGGTGAGGGAGTGAATATATAACAATGGTACAGAGGTTTATCGGTAACATTGAGTAAGCATTATATTTCAGGGAGAATGTATAATATTGTTCTACAAAACAACTTTTGTCATCAGGATTTATAGAACGCACACACAATATAACATTATTTTGTTTATGTTTTTTTTTTGTTAGGGACGGTACTGATTCTTCCAGAACTGAGCTTTTGCACAACATTGACCCTCTGTGGACTGTAGCTGGTGGCCGAGATTGGGTTGTTAAAGAAAGTCCCTTCAACGTCAGTATTAATGCTGCATTAAGGCAAGGAGACTGGAAAATTGTCACTGGCGACACTGGTAAGCCTTGATTGTAGCCTTTCATTTTAACTAAATGTTAAATTGTTATGAATCTTTGATACAATTTAAAGGCTCTATTCAGTCAGTCGGATGTACTGTTGGAACGATATTCAATTAAATCAATAAATAAGTTTTCCGATCAGGCAGCCTGCTTTATTTCCTTACTTACACAGCTCTGTATTTGAATCAAGCAATTAGACAATCGGTAAAAACGATACAGAAAACTTTGGCGTTCCTCGACAAAGCCTATCGCAGCGGTGTTTACAAAACATACTGTGAATGGGTCACATGACGCAGTTGGGCCAATCAAATTGGCTGCTTTAGCGTCTTCGTAGTAACAAGGTGACTTTGTTTACATCCAATTGTCCCTGGAAGAACGTCTGTCATTGGTTTATTTATAATTAATTTTTTGACCTGCACTTGTTATTTTTAGATTCAGATTTGAATGGCCAAACATGCAGGGATTTAAAAAAAAATAATACAAATAATATATAAAGAAAATAACAGCACATTTTTGTTAATTACAACATCGTTTTTCTATTAAAACTACATGAACAGGCCTCAGTATATCTTATTTCTTTTATACTTCTATTTGGAATTTCTCAAAAAGACTACGGTATATATCAGTTAAAGTGAAAATCTAAAAATAGACAACCAACACATTTTCCATGTTCTATAGCATTTATAGCAAGCGCCTGATTTTGTTGTGGCTGGACACATTTTTAAGAAGGGTACAAACACTGTGTATAGAAACGGCCATAGAGAACTGCACACTACATTTCACTAGACAACTCATCACAAATGACTAATTCATGTAACAAAAAAAAAAAAAAAAAAAAAAAAAAAAAAAAAAATATATATATATATATATATATATATATAAATTGCACATGATACACTATATAATCTTGAGTAGCATTAATAATAAAACATATTATCTTATTATAAACATTCGTAATAAAACATATTATCGGCTTGGAGAAAGAAAATCATTTTGAATCATTATTATTTCAGGATTTTGGGGATGGTATGCACCACCTGACACTGGCATCGACACGATCAACGGAACAACAACAAATGAACAAGTGACCTGGTTGTACAATATTACGGCAGATCCACTAGAAATGAATGACCTTTCTGATGAGCACCCTGATATTCTCATGACAATGTTAGAGAAACTTCAAGAATACTATCTTAATTCGGTACCTGTATATTATCCAGATACTCAGCCACTACATGCATTGCCTTGTTATAATGGCAATAATTGTATTTGGGGACCATGGACACCAAAATAAGCAAAAATTATGTAGCTGTTCTAAATAAGGTTCTAAATCGTAGTTTTAACACAATTATGTGTCTGAAGTCTCTGTAATGGGTTTACATTCTGAGTTATTGGTAATATTTAGTTTAGTTTAGGATCGTAGTGGTTCTTAGTTGATAGTTAATTATTCTTTAATGGTTCACTTTTTTAGCTTTTAATTGGGTTACACACCTTGCGTGTTTTAGAGCCTATATGTTTAAACGTGTACGCCTAAACTACTTTTATTACTATTCTTATCATTATAGTATAGAAAATTAAAGTGACCAATGTCAAAAAATATTAACTGGACCTCTGTATTTTTTGTTGGCAATAAGGCGTGCTATTCCAGTCTCGTTTTTGTAAAATTGTGGAATCAGTTATTACCCTCGCCCCACAATGTTATATGTATCTTGGTCCTCCCCTCATCAGAAGATTTGTAAATTTTAGAACGTTATTTATTTATATAGTTTTGTCGCAACTGACAGAGCCAACACGAGCGGACCGTTCGACTGAGTCATTTTGGCTGGCCCGGCTGACTCGAGCGGGTTGACCGCGGACCGACTCGAGCGTACCGACCATGATTGTGTTAAATTCTGGCCAGCGGACCCGGGCAGCCCGAAATGCATGTAAGCCCGAGACTGATGGGCTTGTTACTTGAGGCCTATGCCCGACCTCGTTTGGCTGATGGATTGGGGAAGTAAGGTGCAGACTTTATGTTTTTTAACTGGTGTCCCAATTAAAAAATAATCTTATAAATATTGAAATAGGAAAAAAAAAATTATGAGATGCACAAATAATAGATAATCTGAGATTACAAACCCTCGCCCTGCTGTCGCGCCATATCTTTGTATCCGCTGGTTGTTGTTGTTGTAATGTAACATTATAATATTACAAGCTATACATGTCAGGTGAAATGTAGCCGAGCTGGAAAGTGTAAAGATAATCGAACGTATAGGGTTCAACTCTCACTCTTGCTTTTAAAAAAAATTATTATTTTGTTATTTTTATTATTTGTGTTTATATATTAAAAATTAAAAAATTGTGAAAAATAATGAAATAAGAATAATGATTTTTTAATTCTTTAAAAAACTTTAAAAGAACTTTAAAAACTAACAATAATAATAAAAATGACAATAATAAAATAATCGAACGTATATGTGGTTCAAATCTCACTCTTTTTAAAAATTATTATTATTATTATTATTATATTAAAAAAAATGTTTAATATATATGCACAATTAACAAAAATAACAAAATAATAATAATTAAAAAAAAACCAAAACAAAACAAAACCAAGAAATAAAAAACAAAAACAAAAACAAGCAAGTGTGAAACCCATACGTTCGATTATCTTTACACACAAAATGTACATCTTTACCGCTCGGCCACATTTCACCTGATGCATAGAGCCACTAATATTATACCCTTATAATACACCAACAACCAGCGGATTCAAAGGTATGGTTTGTAATCTCAGATTATCTTGTTTCCTATTGATTTCTTTAATGAAAACATCCTTTAACAATAAAATATCAACCCCATGTCACGGCATGGTAAAAACCATGTGCACTTAGGGACAGAAGAAAAACGAAAAAGAATTGTACAAAATATTAATAAAAAGGACGAGGATGCAGATTACATTCCAAATGAATGCGATGTTGAAGATTATAAGCCGTAATTGATGATGAACCAGATTATGATGATTTATTTATTTAGTTATTATAAATTCGACACATACAAAAAAACATTCGAAGCAAATTATAAAAGACAAAACAATGAAGAGGTTAGAGTTTTTCTCGTACGGACACCAAATAGAATAACAATAATAAAAATTAGCCAAAACTAAAGATTGAAACAAATAAATAATAAAGTAAGGACAAAGACCAACATATTTTTTAGAAAAAAACCGAGAGTGCGAGAGGAACACGAATGTGGGAAAGAAAATTGAGATTAGATGATGGAATAATTCCGAGAAGTTTGGCTTCAGAAAAAAACGCAATTAGTGAATTATTGATGAAATAATTTGGAGGAGGGATGACTGCTCGAGAGCACTTCGTTAATCTTAAAATCTTACATTTACTAGCAGTAAGTGGAAGATCATTTTCAAAACACCAACAAGAAAATTGTCCGAGAGATAGTTTAGAATGTACGACATCATCGGCGTATTGGTCGACACAAGACGTCGTCAAAAGATGTCCAAAATCTACTACATAAAATAAATTGGACCAATGATGCTACCATGCGGAACACAACTAGAAGCAGCTCAGTGCTACTGCCCTGGCGAAATCCATATTGAAAGTGGAAGATAGTATTATATTGCTGTGTATATACTCAAGAATTGGGCCAAGTAAAACTCTCTCAAATATCGTATAGGCCTATCTTATGAATGATGAATACAAGCTTGGATATAGATAGTATTCGAGTTGATGACCATAAAAGTGTCAATAAAGCTGAGATATGTGACCCAATCAACCAATATTCCTCAAATATTGGCTCTCGCCTCTCTCAAGCAATTCCCAGTTATTCCTCTTCGTTCCTTGGCCTTCTGAACATCGCGAATGCGAAATCTATTTTTCTATTGCAAGTCACAAGTTATGAGGTTTTAAATTTCATGAATTACCTTAGCAATAAGACAAGTTCAGGACATAATCATGTTAGCTATAAGCTCATTAAGACAGTACAGTAATTGCTTTATTCTTTTACCTTTCACCCCATACATTTGAATTATCTATCTTGACCGGTGTTTTCTCCACATTCATGAAATTAGCCAAACTGATCCCAATTTTCAAAAAAGGAGACACAAATGTAAGCAATTACCGTCCAATTTCACTTCTGCCCTCATTTTCTAAAATACTGGAGAAGCTTATGTATACTAGAAACACTAATTTTGTCAAGACATGTGGATTACCCTCTAATACCTAGTTTGGTTTCAGAGAGAAAAACTCATGGGCCTATCACATGCTTTTTTTAAAAATTTATCGACCACGTGACTACGGGTTTTGACAAACAGATTCAAACACTTGGTTTGTTTCTTGACTACTCCAAGGCATTCGATTCTATCGACCAAAACACCCTCCTTTCCAATCTCGATCATTATGAAATCAAAGGCTTTGGGGTGGTTCAGAAGTTACATTGATTACAGAAAACAATTTGTTTCATTGGGTAATGAGGTGTCTGGACTTTGTGCCGTTAACTTTAAATTCCCTCCAGAATCCATAATTGGACCTTTACTTTTATTATTGATTTTTGCAACTCTTCTATTCTACTTTCGCTTATTCTGTTTGCCGACGACTCGAATTGATTTTTTCCCATCGCAGTCCTGCCACATACTTAATATAGTAAACAACGAACTCAATAAGATCCTTGAATGGATAAATGCCAGCCGTTTAACTCTGAATTTGGTTAAAAACGCACTATATGCTATTAGTAAATCTCTTAATTCATTAGCAGTGATTCTTTAACGGTTCTATCATCGACCATGTTTTGACTTCCAGATTCCAGGGGGTCACCATTGACGAACATCATAACTGGGGGTTGGGCATCCAATGTATGCAAAACACCCTCACATAACCACCAAACTCTGTTCCATATTTCCAAGTAACATCTCAAAAGTAGCCGAGTCTGGTATTGTCGTATTAGCTATATAATACTCGCCTGGGGCAATGTCGACCAGATACACCTCAACTAAATTTATCCGGTCAATATCTAATCTTGGATGGCGTGACACACGACTGATCTTTTTACTTATGTATGTGTATTTAACATTTTAGAATTATTTAAGTTAATGTTTGCTGCTTTATGTTTCTTTTCAACACTGAGTCCGTACCATTGACCCTAGCTGATCCATTCTACAAACCAGCAAGGCCACAATTATTTTACAAGACAATCATCTCACTTTCATCACACTTGTTCTCTCACAGTTTCAAGTGCAAAATCCATTTTCCCCCCACCCCCTACATCCTCCAAAATAATAAAGTTAGTTTAATCACATTAAAACACTTAAGAACACTCATGAAGAATAATTAGTACCGTACGTTTTCCAAAGCGTATCAAAGTCGTCATCTGTTGATACCAATTATTGTAATTTTTATTTTTTTTCTTTTCCAAGTATAGTTAAGTTTATATGTGTACCTATAATTTACAAGCTGCGGCTTACGATAATTTGTACAATAGGTTAAGACAAAGCAAGTGAAATAAGTCATCGATTGATAAATGATTGATTGAGGGTATGATGGTGTTAGTAGTGACAATGATGATGAGGAAATGATGATGATGATAATAATAATAATGATTAATAATGAAAATGTTAGACCTAATGATGCAACAGCCAATTGTTTCTATATTAGCTCGAATTCGCGAGCTCTTTTCACAAATAATTTGTTATTTAAACCCCACCTGCGGTTGAAATATGAATATGAACCGTTTTTGGACCACGGTCTGGTACGAGCCGAGAACAAGGAGCTGAGTTCCTAAAATACTACCTAAAAGACGACTATGATTGTAAACACCATTGCGTTAATAATTTGTACACATTGATGTTCGTGATTCCTGATTGTTCTATGCCTGTTGATTAACACTGCGCCTTGAGCACCAATTTTGGTGGTGATGTTTGCGCTTTATAAATCGATATTTTTATTATTATTTCATTCCAAGAAGCCTTATACAAAATTACAGACTATGTATTATGCGTCCACTGAACAACTGATGGCGTAGATCATTATTGCTTGACATCCGGTAACTTTAATAATAAGAAAAATAATAAAAGGACTACAAGAATAATATTCTTATTAATTATATAGCTTACCCCCACAGATCTCATTATCATCATCTTCATCCTCATCAACATCGCCATCATCATCATCATCATCATCATCATCATCATCATTTTGTCATCCCGATAGTAGTACGGTAGAACTAATGGTATATATGATAATAATTAATGATATATATATATATATATATATGATAATAATTAATAATTAATTAACTTTTAGTAGTAAATACATACCGTAGTTATAATGAAAACTTTGACACGACATTTAAGTCACTTGTAGTTTACATACACTATTCTGTTTTAATAAACATGTTAAATACAACAGCTGTGTTGATCCTATAGAATTTAATATGTTGCATTTATTATTTACTCATTTTCTTAAAAAACAAAAAAAAACTTTTAAAAGTACATCATGACACTCATAAATTGCGATAACAAATTCATAGTATTAACAGTGTCAACTTTGAAATTAATTTTTTCAAATGAGATTTAAGAGGTCAATTGTAGTTTACATATGATATATTCTGTATTTATCAATTCTGTTTTTATCAACAGCTGTGTGATTTTCGGAAAATAAATTTAATTACGTTGAATTAATCATATACAGTACTTGTTTAAAAAATCTTTTTAAAGTACGTTAAACTTTTTAAAGACTAAAATGTATATGTATAGATTCTAACAGAAACAGAATTCCCACTGTTTAGACGTATCCCTTCTATAAAATTGTGTAAATATACATGACACATACTAATAATTAATTATTATTAATGATAGAAATAAAATAAAGGTAAAGATATTGATAATAATAATGATAATAGCAATAAACATGAGCATGACCATGATAGTTACCATGACAATGAATATAATAATTACAACGGTAATGGCAATAGTAAGAGTGCTTGTATTAGGTAATTTTGGAAAGCGTTTCCAGCGTCTGTTTATGTCGAGAAACTTGTTAGGTTGTTGAATTTGGATAGTTTGCAAAAAAGTAATATAGAACGCCATTGGTGCCAAAATCGATTTATGTTTAAGCTTTTTAAGACAAAATGTATGGACTGGAATCCAGTCTAGTATAACATACATACATACATACATGTATGTATGTTTTTATGTTACATGTATATATTACAACTGATGGTAATAATAATAATAATAATAATAATAATAATAATAATAATAATAATAATAATGATAATGATAATAACGATGATGATGATTATAATGATGATGATAATGACGATGATGATGATGTATATTATATTTATTTAGGTGTTGCCATGATAAAAAGAAATTACAAATTTTAATTTGACAATAAATTTATCTTGTATCTTGTATTTTGTATTTTCCAGCCTGTTGCTTCTACTTCATTTTGGAGGTACTGTAATTTAAAAAACAAGATTAGGTCTTTATATAACATCATTAAAAATTAGATTTTATGTTAGAACAAAAGATAGTTTCTGGGATCCGGCATAATATTTTTGTGAGTTGATATTTGTACTAGGTCCTACCATACAGATCAGATGCCCACTTTGAAGATAGATCACTCAATGCTTTATTAATTGTCAATAAAAGCTCTGGCTACTTGCTCTGTAGGATTTATTTTAATTATACAAGTCAATTTTATAACTATTTTAAAGAAACCAATAATTTTTATGAATATTTAATACCTGATGAGGAGTAAATTATAGAGAACAATTATGCTTGTCACCATATGCTGTTTTCAGACAGGCCTAGAGAGTATTTAAGCAATCGCAATAACTAATAGTAATCACCTTTCTTCCAGATTACGACGAAGAACTAAATTCATATTGTAAAGATGACATCACGAAAAGCACTTGTTCTGCTTCTCACTGTTTTCAGCCTTTATCTCGTCCAGGCTAAGACTAAGCGTTCTAAAGGCAGCCAACCTAACGTTCTTGTTATCCTATCAGATGATCATGGTTACAGAGATGTCGGCTACCATGGTGCGTTGTTTGATACTCCAGTAATCGACAAATTGGCCGCAGAGGGTGTGAAGTTAGAAAACTATTACGTTCAACCAATCTGTTCACCGACTAGATCCGTCCTCATGTCGGGTCGATACCAGGTAAATTACAGTTTGTTCAAATCATCAATTTATGTATTTTTAAAATAAAACATGCACTTTCTCTGTAATCCAAGTTGTCATAAAAGTTTTCTTATAACAATTTTTTAAATAATATAAATGCTATTTTAGATAGTTTTCAGTCGGGTTGACATAATGATAGATGGAAAAAATCAGGAAAAATCTTAACATACTTGTTCGTTGCACTATGAATATGTCATAGACAACACACATTCGCAGTCATATTTGACATAATCAACTAATACTTTGGTAATGAGTAGCAATATTGGTTTTATTAATTTTCATTATTACTCTTTTTATTACGCTCCGTGCACATTGGTGATCAGTGATTCTCTACGTTCGCTTCGGCTACGTTTGTTTCTAAAGCTTGGCTTCCAAACAATCGCTACACGCTATGGCCGACAGCTTTCTGTGATGCTGATTGGTCGGTCAAATCGGGAAGCCTTCCCGATGGCGTCGATGACTGCTACGCAGTACAGCGATTGCACTGAAAACACTGTAGCCACAGTCAGTGGCGGCTCTAGGATATATTTTCTGGGGGGAGGGGGCTAAGTTGTCCGACAGGGGACTTGAGCTCCTAAATGAGATTTTTTGAAGAATATCAACCTCTGGATGGCCGAAAATGGCACTCTCAGACTGTGACAGACATGTGTTGGTTTGGTGTGGGCCTATTTTTATTTGTTTTATGGTCTGACTGCCCGACGAGCTCTGTCCGGCAGGGGGGGGGGCTTGACCTGCCCGGTGGGGGGAAGGCCCTGCCCCCGCCGCCACTGGCCACAGTGTAGCGATTTTAAGAAACTTAGGCTTAGCAGGTACAACATGCAACATTATTGTGTAATAAACCAGGGTTTATTACAATTTTTAATGTTATTTATGTTATTTAACTTATTTAACTATATAATAAAAGGCATACTTTATTTAATTTATGTTATTTAATTTATGGTATAGTCACATTGTACTTGCGAAATAGTTTGAAAGAGTTCTTGTGTTTCGTGCCTTTCAACGCTATGACGATACCTGTGACTCCAGCTATAGAGTTGGCTTGGCTGAGCTGATTTCTATTGTTCACAACCTGTCACGTGGGCTTTCCTGTACGGAGATTTCCCTTCTTATGTAATCTAACAGATGAGGCGTGCGTGTACGATTTGCCATTATGATCAGTTACCGTACTTTTTTTTACAAAAATGGCAAACATATAATTATGACGAAGTTGTCCATACGTCATGGTGTTAAATATAAAAAAGTAGGCCATTAATGACAATACTACCTTGCCTTCTATGTCATACTAGATTTTGTTATCGTTCACTACAGGAGGTGGAATGTAGGCTTACATTCTTAAGTTGTATCGCCTGCAATAAATTGTGACGATTGTATTGTCGCATTGTTGTGCAGTGTGTATATCCATAACAGGTTCACACCGGGTCGCTTTAGGATTGATCAGATCCTATATAGCCTAGTGGATTACTAACAATTGATAATGCAAATTATTATTGTGTCTATATTCATCTTTTATATCCGTACATTATTATTATCAATGGCATTTTTATTTTCAATTTTTCCGTCATTCAGATCCATACAGGACTGCAACATGCTGTTCTTGACCCAATGGCACCAGCTTGCCTACCTACTGATGAGGTGACTCTAGCTCAGAAGATGAAACAAGCTGGTTACTCAACGCATATGATTGGTAAATGGCATTTGGGCTTTTACGAAGAGGCGTGTCTTCCCAACAACAGAGGATTCGATACCTACTTGGGTATGTATTAATATTGTGTAATTGACTGAGCCAGTTAATTGAATAATTAATGGATCAGACAATCAATACATCAGACAATGATCGATTATTGATTAATTAATTCATTTATATGGGAATTGATTTATTATGTAATTCAACATAGGCTGTCCGTTGTGTTCAACGATGCCATAAGAAGGTCAGAAATGTACTTACCACTAGAAAATAGCGAGCGGCGAGCGTTGATAGTTTAGTAGACTTGCCACAAGTCTCTAACTTTTTGATTTTTTTTTTGCGTTAGAAACTTTCAGAAAACGCCCCCAATTATAGTATGGAACGACCTTGGTGCAAATAAGTAATATGGAACCAAATTGATGTATACATTCGAATGCTAACATTGAACTCTCCTACATGGCATAGCTCCTTTTTCCTTTGATGTTCCTCTTTTATCACTTTACATGCATAAAAATTTTGATTCAAATTAACATTTAACATTCAATATGTAAAATAATGATAACAATTATAATGTAACCATGGATATAATATTCTTTTTTAAGCAACCAAGTACATTGCTTTAGTTGACTTCACAAAAAGAGGGAGAATGGTTTGGCAACATCAACATTTTTTTGTACACTTTCAGAGGGGGAGTTTGGGGGGGGGGCAGGTTGCCGAAAAGAGTACTGTTTGTACACTTGTGAAAAGATTGATATGTGAACGAACCCTAACTGATAAATTGGTTGAGTAAAATACTGATTAATTGATTGATTAACTGATTAATGAATAGATAGATAGATAAATAGATTGATTGATGAAAGTGATTTAATTAATTATTAATTAATCAATCAATCAATCGATCGATCGATCGATCGATCAATCAATCAATCAATCAATCAATCAATCAATCAATCAATCAATCAATCAATTCATTAATTCATAATTAATTACATAATTAATTATTAATAAATAAATAAATAAATAATTTAATTAATTATTTAATAAATAAATAAATAAATAGATAGATAGATGGATTGATTGATTGATTGAATGCTTGGTTGATTGATTGATTGATTGATTGATTGATTAATTAATTATTATTATTATTATTAATTAATCGATCAATCAATCAATCAATCAATCAGTCCGTCAGTCAGTCAGTCGATCAATCGATTGATTGATTGATTAATGATTGAATGAATGAATGACTGATTAAATGAATCTTTGGATGAATGAATGAATGAATGAATGAATACATTGATTAGTTTATTGGTCGATTGATCTTCTAAAGTAAAACACACTTTAAATAATAAATTCAGGTCTGCTACTGGGAGGAGGCTACCAATTTAGCCATTCTTTCCCGGAGCCTCCGTATTATGACTTCCATCGGGACCTTGCAGCTGCAAAGGATTACAATGGCACTTACTCTACTTATGCCTTTACTAATGAAGCAATTGATATCATAAACAACCAAGATGAAGACACGGTAAGTTTCAATAATAAGCTGTATCGAATTCCATACAGTATGCAGCCAAACAATATTAACACATAATTATGTTGCACTTGGAGAGGCACTGGCGTAGAATCTATTAATAATAAAATGTATCTATTCCAACCAAATAGTTGTTTCAATGATGTTATTATGTTTGCATATCCGAGCAAAATAATAGTGAAAGAGTTTCTATCATCCCACTTTATACAATAGTACTGTATGAATCACTTTATCACCTTCTTGGTTTGCTGTTCAAAGCTTCGAAAACTCATATATACATAATCGTTACCCCATGGTATGTCAGTTGTCAATTTAGACAGATTCAAGCAATATTTACTGAAAATAAACTTAAATTTGAATCACTATTTCGGATTATATTTTCTAGCCTTTCTTCATGTACCTGTCCTACCAAGCACCGCACGCTCCTCTTGAAGTACCCGAGAAATACAAGGACCCATACCGTAGTATTTTTAACAATGAAGACAGACTTACCTACGCTGGTATGGTATCATGCATGGATGAGGGTATCGGGAATGTGACAGCTGCATTGAAAGCTAAGGGAATATATGACAACACTGTCATATTCTTTTCTAGTGGTGAGTAGGTTTACGATATGTTTAATGTGGGTAACCGTGTTGTATTACACAAAACCGAAAATTATCACTCCCTATAATTATCGTCAGTCATCGATTTTTAGAAAACTAAGCTAATAAGTAGCTTTTGATTTCGCGACGACGACGTAATGACGCCACGTAGAATATATTTTCTCCATGGTTTTTTAAAAATAAAATATATCCTCCATGATTTTACAAAGATAATACCACATTCACATTATACACATTACACACACTTTACAGAAAATGATTTCGTCGGTTATATTTTTTAAAAATAGCGTACTGAAATTTTCTATGTAAAAAAAAAAATCTTTATAGCACCAATTTTTTAAAGTCAATTAATCAAAGATAGATATAACTTAACACCAATTCAATTCACTACCGGCATACTGTATAAGTAAAATATATATAAATTAATAATATGTCATACAGTATTGTATTTTTAATTTAATTAAGAATTAGCTGGATATGTTTATATTATTCTAATATATTTGTGTTTATCATTGTGTTAAAATTCTAGTGTAATATTTTATTGAAACCCTGATATCATAATGAAGAATAGTTATTCTTTAGCATCGCTTTGCATAATTAACCCAGTTTAATTTATTAATACATCAACATCATCTTTATTCACTAGATAATGGGGCAACTGTAATGGAAGGTGGTAACAATTGGCCATTGCGTGGATTCAAGTTGACCATGTTCGAGGGCGGTATGCGAGCTCTCGGATTCGTTCACAGCCCTCTCCTTTCTGACAAAGTCAAGGGAACTGTGAGCAATGAACTGTATCACGTAAGTGATTGGTTCCCGACATTCGTCGAAGGTATCGCTGGATGGAATACAGACGGAACTAAACCACTAGATGGCTTCAACCAATGGGAATCTATAAGGTACAAGCATTTACAATATTTTCATCTGAGTTATATTCGGGTTGGAATAGAACTCTAAGATAGTGGTGAAATACAATCTAATCCAAAGGAATGATAGATAAATCAAACACTTTTGGAAAAGCCAGTCAAAATTAGTTAATAATAGACATTAAGAAAGTATGGGTGTTTGATAATTACGCTTTGGAATATTGGTCAATGTGAGGTTGGCAGCCATGCATGTCTAAAAATGAGGCTTGCATGCATTCATCTTTTTTAATGATTAAATTTAATGATATTGGTTAAAGATTTCGTACCATATATCTGTGAAATTGAAGTGAATTACGTGTGAGTTTTTTTAAAAATGGTACACAGTTTTCTCGTTAACATTGGGAACGTAACTATTATTAAATCACTTGCACTTTCAACAATTAATTTACAACGCTAGCATTATTGAGATGCCTGAAACTATTGTTAAAAAAGTAGAAAAACTAATTTTTAATTTCCTCTGGGATGGTAAATCTGAAGAAATAAAACGCAAGATACTTTATTTTAAACGAGGAACATGATGGTATAAAAATGCCTGATATACTTTTGCAGGTCCAGTCAATGCAAGCAAAGTTGTTGTTTAAATTAAATGATTCAAAACATGAAGGTGAATGGAAATTGATCCCAATATAATTATTATTTGCAAAAACTATGCTCAATTTCCATTAGGTTGAATTGTTGTTGACATAGATAATAATATACTGGTTTTATTACCATCTTTTTTTTTTTTTATAAAAATGTTGTTAAGTCAATGTCATTATACAATGAAAGTTTTTCTGTTGCACCTACGACTCGCAGCGAAATTATGAAGCAGTGTTTGTGGGGTAACAATAATAATATTGTTATTAAAAAAAAGTCACATGCATTTATAACGTAGTGTGATTCGGGTATCAATTACATAGAAGATATCATTACTGATTGTTTTCTAGCTCCCCCCCCCCCCCGCTGACGTCATACGTCAAAAGCTGAAGAAGACCAATAATTACGTCGGTGAATATTGGATGGTAATTAATGCATTACCTATTAAATGGAAATATACTATCCTTAATATAGAGCAACCAGATCAAGTAGATAATATTAAAATTAATAAAAACCCCAAAACCAAAGAAATACACACACATAATTATTATAAAATTGAAAATATTGTATCCCGTTAAAAGTCAATTGAAATCTGTTTTGTATTTATTATATTCAAATCTTGTATAAAATGGGTGAAAAAGAGTTATATATTGAAAAATGTTGATAATAGATATTGTATTTACTGTTAAATTATATATTGATAAAAAAAATGTTATAATATAAAATATGCGTGTATGTGTGGGTGGGTGTGTTTGTGGGTGTGCGTATGTTTATGTATGTATAAGTGTGAATGTATGTGTATGTGTATGTATATATATATATATATATGTACTGTATGTGTATG